AAAATTTATTTATAGCTAAATGTTGGGCAACTGTTTGACAGGTTTTTGGAGCAACTGAAAGACAAAGCTCTAAAGAGCGCAGGTGTAACCCAAGAAGAGGTTTTGCAGTGTATTGAAGAAAGAACATTAGCTCGAAGGAGTGATCTTGTGGCAAAAGGAATTGCTTTAATGGATATTGGGAAAGACAGTTTGGAGGCCTTGTGTGCCCGTGCAACAAGAAAAGAAAGGTTTGCCAGTTCAGAAAGAGAACTCGCCTGATCCAGCTGCAAACAGCCCGCCAGTCTTGTTGGCCGATAAATGAAAGTATACAGCTTAGCTTTACCTAACTTGTGAACTAGCTCAATATATAGAACTCTTGGTGAATATAAATGTGACTCTATGTTTCTCTCATTTTCACTCCTTTGAGATTCTAATAAGTAGCTTGACCATACAATTTCATAAGCCCAAAAGTGCTTTTAGCTGGAACTAGGCCTCTAACAAAGCGACGTGTATGGAATTTGATGGGTTCGATTTAGCTCAAACACAACACAGTTCGAGTTGGCTTGTTTTGGTATTGGTAGTATAATCAGAAAGAATTTACTTTTGATTGATAAAAAAGTATGGCTTGTTTATTGTACATAAATAATTCATTAATTTGGATCGGTTGAAAAAAAATCTTCAGCTTGCTTATGATTTGCTGCTTCTCATTTTTTGATATTAAATAACACAATTAAAAGATAAATAATAAATGTTATAATATATTCTTTAATATAAATACTACACCCGCACAAGTATTTATGTATGTATTTGTATATATTTATTTAGCTATCAATCAATATCAATTATTATATATTAAACTTTTATATTAGTGATCCTCTTTATTTAAAGGAAAAAAAGGGTTAATTACTAATAAAATCTTAACATTTTGTCTAATTGTAAATAAAACTCAATCTTTTCAATTTGACAAAAAAATATCAAACATTTAATAAGTGTTGCAATTGTGTCTCAATCACCTTCCGCCGCCGCCAACCACCAACCGCCGCCGGCCAACTTCACCGAATGTTGAAAATTTTTACATGATCTTGTAGCTTTCCTCCGTGCCGACAACATATTCGGGTTTCACGAAAAAATTCCGACGATAAGGAGATGATCGGAAAAGTCGTTACCGGAAAAAGTCACCAGTTCCGGTGAAGGTGGACGCCACTAGATGCGGCTTTGCGAGAGGAGTTCAACGGTACCTTCAGATTCACGTCGGTCAAAGCGAGTTACCGGGAATTTGCGAATGAACGCCGGAGAAAATTTGTAGATCTACGAGCTTTGACCGGGATATTGAAAGCCTTATTGTTGGAATTTTTTCGTGAAACTCGGATATGTTGTCGGCACGGAGGAGAGCTACAAGATCATGTAAAAATTTTCAACATTCGGCGAAATTGGCCGGCGGAGGGTGGCTGTTGGCGGCAGTCCGGCGGCGGCGGAAGGTGATTGAGACATAATTGCAACACTTATTAAAGGTTTGGTATTTTTTTGCCAAATTGAAAAGGTTGAATTTTATTTGCAATTAGACAAAAAGTTAAGATTTTATTTGCAATTAACCTAAAAAAATATATATTAAACTTTTATATTACTATAATAATCATATTTTCAGGGGTGGAGTGTATAGGAGTAGTGCTATTTAAGCCACTTGGATGACAACTTGGGTTACAATCCAGTGTAAATGCGTTATCAAAAATTTAAAAAATAATGCATTTACACTTAGATTGTAACATAGGTCGTTATTCAAGTGGACTCTACAGCATTACTCAGTGTATAGTGTATAGAAGCTTAGAATGTTCACAGTGTAGAAGAAGAAAGATAATCATACCTCAGCCACCTTATATAAAGTCATTACCTTATTTGCCAAGATCTGCCCGATTTGGCTGCCCTAGTGCTTTGGTTGCCCCAGATTTGCCCGGACTACTCATTCTTGTTGTCCAAGCAATTCTGTTACCTACGTGTTATACTTATCCAATCGTGTTCACACTATTCTTTACCAGATGTGTTCACACTGTTCTACCTTCGCAGGTAGTTGTGCTAAACATAACCGAGCTAAACATCTCAATTCCTTCTAGATTTGACTATTCGGGTCTTTGCTGAGCAAAACTCTGACTTTGAGGTCGTCAATCGACCTCTCCAGTTCCAGGTCGAGTATCTGGCAGACTATCCTAGGGTTCTAGCTCGACCTGCTGTTGTTCCTATACGAACGACCTGACATTTTCTAGAGTCCTAGCTCGACTTGTTGCTGACTTGCTATTCGATCTCCAATCAAGCTTCCGATCACGTTCAACCGTTCGAGTTGCTCTTCAAGTTATACAAGCTCTAGTGGTTGGTATGGTATACCATATCATCTAACACCCCAATCTCCCATCCTTAGCACCTTATCAATGAATGACCTAGGCTTACTATGACCAGTGCAACAATCTTTGTGGACCTCCTATAACACGTATCGACCTTCCCTACACCGAAACGCACCTCTGGTGAGGTCCCGAGTACGATCTTTTTACAAGATACCATCTTTCTCAAAGAACCTGCTTACTCCTTTGGATATTTACTTTATTTTGGTGAGCTTCGCGAAACACCTTTAGAATGGGAGCTCGCCAATCCTCAATCTCAATTGTCTCTGCGATCTCTATCCCATTGTTCTCTATGTATAAGAACATCACATTCGTGCTTTGCAATCTACCAAGCTTTGTGTTATTTTTATCAGCAAGTTCACTCTTCTATTTTCTCCGTTAGGTATTTGAATTAACTCAAACAAGCTGTAACTTTTGAGAAAATTTTGAACCTCCTACACACAACTATTCATCATATCTTCTTTTATATTACACCTCCCTGCAGCTGCCAACAACGAGTTGTGAATACGAATGAGCTTGGGCATGTCGAGCTTCTTCATCTGCAGCCAACTGAAGTCCCTTCAACAAGGCCCTATACTCGAGCTCATTGTTGGAGACCCAGAATCCAAGCTTGATCGCAAATTCAAACCTCTCTCCTGTGGTGGAGATCAAAACACTTCTCAGTCCAACACCTCCTTTTGCGGCCGAGCCATCTACATTGACCTATCATTTTCCTTCAAACTCCAACCTTGTTTCTTCTTAAATAAAAGCCGCTAATATCGGGGCCTTAACGGCCCTTCGATGTTCGTACACAATTGAATATTCACTCAGCTCGACAACCCACTTCAGCATCCGTCTAGACACCAAAGTGTGGCCTAAGATTCTCATATCGGGAGGTTTGTCCTGACATAGATCTTATGTGTTAAGAAATACGACCTCAATTTTCTAATAGTTGCCACCAAAGCCAAATCTTCTTTCTCGACCTTTGAGTAACGCGTCTCCGGCCCCTGCATCATCCTGCTCAGATATTATATATGCATTTCCATGCCATTCTCTTAACACAACTGAGCTTAACGTGACTTGACCAATTGAAATGTATAGCACCAAGTTCTGCCCTTCGTTTGACTTTTCCAACAAAAGTACGTCAACAAAAACGACCTTAAGCTCATCGAAAGCTCGCTGTGCTACTTCTACATATACAAATCATGTGCTTTTCTTTAGTGTTTTGAAAAGAGGGATGCTTCTCTCAACCACCTTAGAGATGAAATGACTAGACATGCAATTCTTTCTGTGAGTACCTGGACCTCCGTTATGTTCCTGGGTGGTCGCATCTCCAATACAACTCGCACCTTTTTTAGATTGACCTCTATCCCCTTTTTGGTAACCATATTACTCAAAAACTTTCCCGACTTTAACCCAAAAGCACACCTAGTCAAGTTAAGCTTCATGACCAAGAACCTAACCATCTTCCCCTTCCTCAAAGGTGGTTGGACTAGCGCAACAGGCAACCGAACCTCCCCTATGGGAACAACCTCATTTTCATTAAAGCCAAATAGCGAGTTATTAACTGGCTCGACCTTCACGTCTAGGTCCATCTGCCTAAAACACTGTTGACAAAATAATATCCACCGAGCTCCCTGTGTCGATGAATACCCTTTGGATATTGTAGATGGAAAATTCAACTATGATAACTAACACATCATTATGGGGGTAAGAAAAACACCTTGTGTCCTCTGATCTAATTTTACTGTCACCTCGGGCTTATCTGCTTGAACCTCTATGACCTCTTTCCCCTTCCGATAGCTCTTCTTTTGCGCGTTATGTGAATTGCCATTGGTGGGACCTCCTGCGGTCATCTACATTACCCTGCTCTTGGGTGGTCTCTCCTCAGGCTCTTCTTGTCGGTGTCTCTTCTCAAGTCCTTTCATGTCTTTCCTTTTTCTCTTTATCCTTAAGAACGAACTCCTTAAGGTGCTCAACTTTTATCAACCATTTGATTTCATCCTTTATCTCCCTGCAGTTGGTCGTAGAGTGACCATAATCCCTGTGGTACTTGCAGTACAACATCTCCAACGTATGGATGAATCCCCACTTTCTATGAATAGCGGAAGGTCGGGCGAAGATTCATGTATCAGCTATTCTCTAAAACTTCAAAAACATTCCTCTAGGGTACAATGAGGGGTTCATACTATCCATTTAGTGCCGACTTTGTAACAATCCTTTGCCCTTGCCTCCTGACCTGATGGCCTCTTATTGTTTGATCGTGGCTTCTTCTCAGGTCTCCTGGCCTTGGATTTGTCGTCTAGTAAAAAGTCGACCTTCACTTCTTATATTTTTATGTACACCAGGGATTGTCATGGGTCATGGTTGGCCTCTTAGCTAAAGAATTTCGGCACATTCCTATTTAAAGACCCCTTGTTAGAACTTCTGCCTAAACTTCTTCCGAGGCTCAATGTACTTCCACACATTTCTTGGTATATCAAGCCACGTATTCTTGCAATGTTTCACCTTCATTTTGTTGTATATTGGTCAGAGTTAAGTATGTCTTCTCATGTTTTTCCGCTCTAATGAATTAATTGACGAACTGCGAGTTGAATCTTTCGAAGCAATAGAACGAGTCGATAGACAACTAGTGAAACCAATCCTTTGTTGACCCTTTTAGTGTGGTCAAGAATGCCCTACAACACACTGCAACGTTATAATGGTGTAAAATCGCAAATGCCTTGTTGGTTCAATTGTCCGATTATAAGATAACTCAGCTCGTGGAATTTAATTGGTAGGTCGTCTTACAACACTTCCTCTGCAAATTGTGCCCGTGAATTCTCGGTGTTGGCCTTCCTTCTACTCTTGCATACAGCTCGTGTAGTTCAGCCGCCATTCTTTCCAAGGCAGCATCCTTCGCATGTCGGG